ATCACTTTCCTTTCCTTTCTCCTCTCACTCTCTCCCTCCTTCTTTCCTTCTCTCCTTCTATTGCTGCTTCCTTCCCTCCTCACTTGGCCCTATTAGCTCTAAGCATAGAAGGATGACTAAAGCATAGCCACTGCCCCTTAATGAGCTGCCATTTCAGAGGTGGGTACAAATTACCTGGAGCTATGAAAAAGTTGACTGTTATAAGGGTTGTACAAGAGACATAAACCATGCTCTGGGTAGAAAATAAAGGTAAGATTAATTCCACCAAAAGGGACAGGGAAGGTGACTGGCCTAGATTCCTGCCTGGAACCCACTTGCTCTGCACTGCTCAGGATTGGCCCTGCAGCCAAGCTCAGACTCTTAGACTGGCTTCTAAATAAGACTACCTCAGCAGATGAATTTAACTCTTGCACACAGGAAGTAAATGGAAGCAATAAACTCAGTTAAAACAGGGCATGGAGGCAGAAATGTGCTATATTCCTAGAGTGTTTTGGGTTTCCTCTTCATTCAGAGAATCTCTCCTTTTCCTTTTAAAGGTGAGAAAACAAAGAGCCTGTAACAATGAGTGACGTGATCAAGGTTGCAAAACTGGCCCCTGGTGGAACTTGGACGGCACCCATGTCAACTCACTCCCTGACCAGAGATCTTTCTGTGGCTGCTTTGCACTCTGCAGCCTGGAAAAAAGGAAAGAGGAAGGCAAAGGCAAAAGCGAAGGGGAAAGAGAGGGGGAAGGGAAACAGAAGAGAAAGAGGAGGTAAAGAGAAGGGAAAGGAAAGGCATAGGAGGGACGGGAAGAGGGGCAGGGAGAGGAGGGAAGGGAAAGGGAAAGAAGAAGGGAAGGGAAAGGGGGGGAAAGGAAAAGAAGGGAAAGGAAAGCAAGGGAAAGAAAAATAAGTGGAAAGGAAGAAAGGAAAGAGGAGGAAGGGAATAAATAAAAGTAGGAGGTGTGTGGGGGTGTGTGAAAAAAAAGAAGAGGAAAGAAAGGAGGGAGAGAAAGAGGAAAAGGAAAGGAGAGAGAGAGATGGAGGAGGCAGGGAGAAAGGGAAGGAAGAGGGCAAAGGGAAGGAAGAAAGAAAAAAGGAAGGAAAGAAGAAAAGAATCACAACAATTCACTGCACTGGCAATTAAAAAAAAAAAAAACTTGTATATTCCTTCAATGCCTGCAAAGTCCCCTAGATTTTCTCAAATTACTCAGCTCATCAAGCTGCATGGGCATTTTTTCTTCTTCACAAAGGACAGCAATTCCTCGGAAACTGCTTATCTCCCTCATTCAATGGGTCCTATAACACCATCTCTGAGAACATCTGACGGAACAAAGCCATTTGGCCATGTGGTCACTTAAATCGTCCTTAGTTTTGTCTGGCCTCTTCTTGCAAGTTTGGCTATCTCATATTCATGGTTCTCTACTGGGACAAGAAGTTTGCGATTCAAAGAGACTCATGATTGAGGTGGGATCAATAAAGAGACATCATTATTCCCTCAGTTGAGCCCCCAATCATTTTTTCAGTTAGAATTCTGGACACATACTACTACTGTTTTGTTCTTATTAGTCACGTGCTTGGGGCTACCCCATTGTAACCACATGAGAGTGCTGTTGGCAAAACAAAACAAACAGGATATTTAACGAGAAGAACAGAATTAGCTAATAAGTAAGTCAAACCACAAAAACTGTAGCCTAACCATGCTATAAAAGCACTTGCTTTTATCATACTGAGGACTCATTTTGCACATTATATATGGTCACACCTTGAGCCATGTTTTCATTTTGGTGGTGCTGAGAAAGTTGTGCTGTTTGGATTAGAGGCATCATAAAGACACAGAGGCCGTCACTGATTAGAGCATGTAATGAGGGGCAGGTGGGTGGGCAGGCTGCGGCAGCCACAAGCGAGTGTGGTCTGAGGGTAACAAGAAACGAAAGGGCTGGGCATGATGGCTCACACCTGTAATCCCAACACTTTGAGAGGCTAGGATTTGAGGCCAGGAGTTCAAAACCAGCTTGGGCAACAAAGGATGACCCCCATCTCTACAAAAAAATTAAAAATGTATTAGCCCTATGTGGTGGCCTGTACACCCAGCTCCTCTGGACGCTGAAGCGGAAGTATCACTTTCAAGGAGGCCTTCCTAGCACCTCAGATAAGCTTTTTTTGTCCATTTTTTTTAATTGTACTTTAGGTTCTGGGGTACATGTGCAGATTATGCCGGATTGTTGCATAGGTACACATGGCAAAGTGGTTTGCTGCCTCCACACCCCTTCACCTATACCTGGCATTTCTCCTCATCCTCCCCACTCCCCCCTCCCCCCACTGTCCCTCCCCTAGCCTCCCCAACAGACCCCAGGGTGTGATGCCCTCCTCCCTGTGTCCATGTGTTCTCTTTGTTCAACACCGGCCTGTGAGTGAGAACATGCAGAGTTTGATTTTCTGTTCTGTGTCAGTTTGCTGACAATGATGGTTTCCGGAGTCATCTATGTCCCTACAAAGGAAATGAACTCAAGGTGATTTTTAAAAGTTAGAGGAACTACTTTGTTCCAAGCCAGCCTCCCCAGTTCCCACCAGGCAAAGCGCCTGAACTTGCAGGGAAGGTTATGTGTTTACCATCTGAGCATTTTCAGGATTCTAAAATGCCATGAGTGGGAACCACTGCCCTGGGGATGGCCATTTCCATGAAAATTTTATTTCAGGGATTAATTTGAATAGGTACTATTAATTTTCTCTCCTTTACACAAGATCAAAGAGTAAAAACAATCAGGCCTCTGCTTAAGAGTTGAGGAGTCTAGCAAAGTTGGGAAACGTTTTGATTTGTAGTAGAAGAGAGAGCAGGCAAGAAGAGAAAGATGGGAGTGGAGAGAGACTGGCAGACATTCAGAAAGTTCGCGCTGGAGATTTTTTACGTTTCTTACTCGCAGACGTCTATGGCTCTGGGTTTCTGAATGCAAAGACGAAACATTCTCAACAGTCTGCTAAACTAACACGGCCTTTGAATCAGTAGCTGAACCAAGCTGTCCACAGAGAGGAAAGCCAGAGGGGACCAATTAGGAAGGAAGAAATTAAAGAAAAAAGCCAAGATGAAAGGTCCAGCGCAAAGTGAGTGACACGCCGGGAGAGTGGCAGCCGAGCAGGGTCTGCGGCTGGGGACACGGCCACGCGGGCGACTGCTAGGTGGGTCGGGCGCAGAGAAGGGAGTGGGTGCAGCGGGAGGGCCTCTCCGGGGGCAGCGCGGGCCGCGGCGGCGCCTCCCGAGCGGGGGCAGCAGAGGAGGGAGCCGAGCGCGAGCCGGGCGGGAGGCGGCTGCTGCAGGGGGAGGCGGGAGGCGGGCGCGCTGGCTCCCATGCCCGCCTCGGTGCCACTCGCACGCCGGCCGCGCTCCGGGCTTCTCCTTTCCCTCCGACGCGCCGCGGCTGCCCAGACATTCCGACCGCCGGGTCTAGAGAAATCCCTGAGCCCGTCCGCAGAGAGAAGCGAGGCGGGGCCGGGGTGGCCCCCAGGGCGTCCTGGGTCGCGAAGAAGCGGGGAAGAGGCCGGAGGATGATCGGCTGAGGGCGACGCGGGCACTGACGGGAGTTGGGGCCGCGACCACGGGCAGCTGGCAGTGCGATGAGCGAGTCCCTGGAGACGCCCTAGCCCGGTGCGCGCGCCGGGCGGAGCGCGCAGGTGGGGCTGGGCTCTCCTCGGTCCGCCCCGCGCGGGTCCCAGCAGGCCCAGGATGGGTGCTGGCAACCCGGGTCTGCCCCCGCCGCTGCTACCGCGGCGCCCGCGGCGAGTCCGGCGTCCGGCTCGCGCCCTGCGCTCATGTATGTAGGTTGGGCGCCCGTCTTCAGGGCTGGGGGTGCATGCTGGGGGTCCCTGAGAGACCGGACGCGCCCCGGCTCTGTTCCGCCGCTCAGCTGCTCCGGAGGAACCCTGTCCCCCGCCCAAGTTTGTGAACGCGGGCGCTTCGCGCAGTGTTGAGGTCCGCGGGGACCCGGCAGGGGGTGAGCAGGGCCGGGCACCTCCGGAGCCCTCTGGGAGGAGGGCTGAGGGGGGAGGGAACAGACGCACCGGAGTGCGCAGAGTGGGGGCATTTGGGGAGTGAGGCAGAGAGGCTGGATTGCCGACGTCCTGCGGCGTCTCGGGCTCTCCCGGCCTCTTTGGGCGGCAGAAACTTTGGAACCCAGAAAGGCTGACGGAGAGGGTCTCGCCCCCAACTCTGCGCTCCGAAGCCCCAGCCTCCCGCACTGCACACCTTGGTGCTGCCCGGGCGCTTCTGCTCCTCAGCCAGGACATTACAAGACTGAGCGCCGCGGCCGGCGACCTGGCTCCTGAGGCTCGGAGGGGCGGGCCGGCGGAGTAGCCGAAGCCCCGGGAATCCCCGATCCCGCGGTCTGGGAAGGGGCCGAGGGTGTCCTTTCCTGCAGCGGGGCCCAGAGAGCGGGGAAGGGGCGTCTGCTCCCTGGACGGGAGGCTTTTAAGAAGTTGTTAGAAATGAATCGTGGAGTCCTAGAAGAAGCTTTGTTTGACCTACCCCCATTTTTCCCAACACAAGCCCCTAGAGCAAATGAGAAAGAGTTTCCCTCTTATCTTCCTGTACATTCGTCCGTCTCTAACTCCACTGCGGAATTCTCCATTTAATAACCTTCGGGAAATGTGGCCAGGACCTAGGGAGGGACACCCTGGGTGTCTGAATTACGTGGTTCCCAGCAGGGCTTTGCAGGGGGCGCGGGCGCGGCTCGCTGTGTTCCCGGAGCCCCGCAAGCCACCCTTGGCCATCTCCAACACTAATCACGGCTACATCAAAAACACGCCGGTCGGTGTCGTTCTTGGATTTCGCTTGCAATGTATCCTTCCACAATTTGTGATGTCTAAGAACCCCGGCCGTGCACCGACGCTGGGCATGCTGCCCCCGCCCCCGTCGCCCAGCTCGTTAATCTAGAGCGATGCCCGAGCCCGGGTGGGGGCCGCTGCGGGCCGGGGCGCGCGCGGGCCGCGGGGCTCAGTTGTGCTGCTGTTCTCTCCGCAGGGACGGCGGCTCCCGGCTGGCGGCGGCGCGCCCCCGGGCTGTGAATGCGACTCGCCCCTCGGCCGCGCTCCCCGCCCGCCCGCCCGCCGGGACGTGGTAGGGGATGCCCAGCTCCACTGCGATGGCAGTTGGCGCGCTCTCCAGTTCCCTCCTGGTCACCTGCTGCCTGATGGTGGCTCTGTGCAGTCCGAGCATCCCGCTGGAGAAGCTGGCCCAGGCACCAGAGCAGCCGGGCCAGGAGAAGCGCGAGCACGCCTCTCGGGACGGCCCGGGGAGGGTGAACGAGCTCGGGCGCCCGGCGAGGGACGAGGGCGGCAGCGGCCGGGACTGGAAGAGCAAGAGCGGCCGTGGGCTCGCCGGCCGGGAGCCGTGGAGCAAGCTGAAGCAGGCCTGGGTCTCCCAGGGCGGGGGCGCCAAGGCCGGGGACCTGCAGGCTCGGCCCCGTGGGGACACCCCGCAGGGGGAAGCCCTGGCCGCAGCCGCCCAGGACGCGATCGGCCCGGAACTCGCGCCCACGCCTGAGCCACCCGAGGAGTACGTATACCCGGACTACCGCGGCAAGGGCTGCGTGGACGAGAGCGGCTTCGTATACGCGATCGGGGAGAAGTTCGCGCCGGGCCCCTCGGCCTGCCCGTGCCTGTGCACCGAGGAGGGGCCGCTGTGCGCTCAGCCCGAGTGCCCGAGGCTACACCCGCGCTGCATCCACGTCGACACGAGCCAGTGCTGCCCGCAGTGCAAGGAGAGGAAGAACTACTGCGAGTTCCGGGGCAAGACTTATCAGACTTTGGAGGAGTTCGTGGTAAGAGGCGAACGCCCGCTGGGCGACTTTGCACATTCCAGGAAGGGGTGTAACAGCTTTGGTTCTGTGGTCCCCCACTTGGAAGAAGAGGTGCTCTCTGGTCCTCAGAGGTGGAGAGCGCTGTGTTCACGCCCCTTTCACATGACCTCTCTTTTTCAGGACAGAGGTAATCCTTCCACGAGCATTGTGGTCAATCCTTAGGGATTCCTTCGGTGTTCACTTTAAAAGGGCTTCATGAGGATGAAACCCATAGCACTGAAGGGAAGGGTCCCAGCAAGTATGGGAGGGACTTTCAACATTAATGTACTGCTCCTAATTTGGGAATGTTGTCAGGGAAATGCTCAACCTGTTTTCAAACACAGGGTAATTTACGATGCCATTTGGGATATATTCTTCAGCTGATAGCTAATTAAGGGAGACTATGCATATAAGTAAGCCATTTGCCTAGATTATGTGTTTAGGGTATCATGCAAATGTTCTAAAAAGTAAAAGAAAAAGAAAATATTTGTTTATTGGGTGTCAAATCATAGTGGATGGCGAAACCAACAAGTGCAGTTAATGGTTAAAAATTGTTTTGCTTTAGATGAGTAGTGGCAGTGTTAATAGCACCAGGCATCTCTCCAGTGTCTACTGTGTGTCAGGATCCTGCTGTTTTTCATGTACATCAGTTAAATCTTATACCATGCTAGGGGGCGGATTATTATCCATTGTCTCCATTTTATGGAGAAGAGGAAACAGACATAGAATATTTAAATAATGTTTTGAAGGCAGAGCAGCTATTAAGAAGCAGATTCGTATGTCACACTAAGAAGTTCTACTTCATAGCTCAGGTTTTTAACCCTTATACTCCACTAAAACTTTGGTTTGGGTGGAGGTGCTGCCCAGCATGCATGCACAGGCTCCGGTTAAAATCCGTGCCCGTGAGCTAGGGCCCTGAGAGAGACCTGCACAGATGTTCAGTTATTCCAAACACCTGAAGGTAGGCTCAACCTATGGCCTGCCTGGACTTGGCCCATTGACTTGCCAGGCCACAGCTGTCCTTTTCCCACCTGCAGAGGGCGCCGTGGAACGTGTAGCCCCTAAAGCAAAGCTTGGGAAACAGGTAGGGAGCAACTCTGCTGGAATACCCCTCCTGGAATTAGCCTGGGAGATCTGCTAATTCCTAGGATGTGAAGGCCATGTAGTTAATGACTTGTGGCAATGAATTATCAAGTGTTATAGAAATACAAAGCCAGGAAGAATAGATCTATATATAGTGTACAAAGTATGGAAAGGGCACTGCAATTTAGAGTCAGGACACATGGTTTTCTATTCTGGCTTTACCACTAACCAGCTGCAGGACTGGAACAAAAAACATGTCCCGTCTGGGTTTCTTTCCTCTTATCTGTAAGATAAGGGGCCAGCTTTCTCTAGGCTCCCCTAGCAGAATATAGCTCCAGGCATACATTGCCTAAGTACTCGCATTTGACTTCGGCCCTTGGGAGAGAGACAGTTGAGAACTTCAAAATCTGAACTGTAGAAACTCATTTGAACCGGGCCCAGGCCATACAAAATTAACTAAATTAGAAGCGCTGCCCTCTAAATGCTTCCTGCCTACGGTGGGAGGGTGGGGGTGGTGAGTCTGGCAGATATCTTGCCAGATGTTTTGCGTGCAATACAAAAGTGCACAGGCAGATGTGTCCAGGTAAAGGAACCTGTGGATGCCACAAGAGCCCAGAAAAGGGACCTTCCATTTTGGCCTGGAGCAGAGACATAGACCTGGGCCCACTGGAACAATTCGCTTAAGTTTTGAATTGGCAACACCATTGGCTCTTCTAAAGTCAAAGATAAGCAGTTGGTTTTTAATTAATTGCTTTCGTTGTTTGCATTGTTTATAGTTCCATAGTAATTTGTTAGAATTGTCCTAAGAGATAAACTGAGGAATTAGTAGCCCTTTGATCTAGAAAGCCCAAATAGTTTACATTGTCCATTTATCTATGTAAGATCACAGGTAGAGGGAAGAATTCAAACTTCTGTCTTAATAACTCATGCTAAGTGCTAGCAGCCATGAAGCGGCTTTTGTCTATGGAGAAGGATCTCTTATTTAATTCCTTGTGGCTACCTGTTTGGTAGTCAATAGGTCAAATGTGTTTTCAAACTCTGTGCATGGGAGATGATACTGACAAAAGGGAAATTGGAAAGATTACAATCTTAGGAAGAATTGAAATACCAGTAAGGCTATTTTTGGAGGATTAGATGCATCCTCCATCTTCACATGACATTTCATTCTAAACTTTCATCACTAATTACCAGATGCTGGGATGGACACATGCTTGAATGTTGCAAAGTTGTTATATATTTTTAATTAAATGCCTGTTCCTATAGTATGTCAACTACATAAAGATTTTATAGTGTTCCATCATGTTTGCCCATTTCAGTTAGTATCAGGAACATTTCTAGGCATTCCCCTGATGTATTGTGGCCTTGTGCAAGCCATTTATTGTCTCCATTTTTGTTTCCATCAATGTACAAAAAAGAAAGGAATGCTTTTTTGGAGAGTGTTGAAAAGATGAATGTAGAATGGTGTAGGGTTAGTTGTGAGTCCACAGGGTTTGTCGGTTGTAGTAATGGAGATTTGTCGTGATGCTGAGTACCAGGGCACAGAAATTGTTAACATGCCTGCTCTGGGTATTCTGGGTTTCACATAGAGATAAATTGTAGTCTGCAGTTTGCATAGCACAAAGTACATAGCAAATGAAAAAGGAAAGCATTTCTGTCTGAAGTGCTTTGCACTTCTCTGAAGAAAATGTAATTCAAATGGAGATTGTGGTATAGTCGGGTCATGCCTGGAGCACTGTTTACTTTAGCAAGGAAGGAAAGAAGTGAAAGTGAGATTACTTGGGCCTCAGTCCCTGTAAGATGCATAGGTCCTTTAACAGTCTATTCTCTGCTTCCAGAGAAAAAGAGAGAGATGGTGGGGGCGGGGGTAAGAGAAAGAGAAAGTTACTAGTCATTGATGGAGGCTGGACACTCTTTGAGCAGGTTAGCCCCAGAGCCTGTGCAAGGTATTTGGCTCCATCAGGAGTGCTGTTTTCTCCCTGTCTTCATAGGCTTCTCTTTCGTTGGGCATATTTTCTTGCTGCCTTCTCTACTCAGTTTTCTGCATATTCCAAACCTGTTTTTTCCCTTCCCTCTGTACTCTTTTACCTCATTCAAACTTCCACTCCTTACAGCCTGTTTGATCTCAGCTAGATACTGGTGAAAGATCTCACTGATTCCACAAAATACCATTAAGCTGCTAATAATAATGAGAGTAATGTGTTCATTCCTCCGGGGATGGTTGTAATTTAATTTGTACATCCAAATAAAAACACAGTTAACAGTAGAATTTTCTCCACTGCCTCTCAGATTATACCAACTGTCTTTTTTTCTTTAACTTATACCAGCAGGGATCCAACTTTGAATAAAGAAGCTTGTCTCTTGGCTTATATGTATATTTATTTATTTATTTTAGTAAATGAATGATATTTTCAACTGTTTTCTGCTTCCTACAGTATATTAGTCTGCCAGGGCTGCCATAGCAAAGTACCAGAGACTGGGTAGTTTAAACAGTAATTTATTGTCTTGGAATAAATCTGCAAGTCCAAATTTCCAGACTTCCAGATTTCCAAGTGATCTGGAAGTGCAAGATCAAGGTGTCAGCAGGGCTCATTTCATCTGAGGCTTCTCTCCTTGCCTTGCAGATGTCCATCTTCTCCCGGTTTTCTTGCGGCATTCCCTCTGCATCTGTCTGTGTCCACCTCTCCTCTTCTCATATTGGATTGGGGCCTGCTCTAATGACCTCATTTTAATTTAGTTACCTCTTTAAGGATCCTGTCTGCAGTCATATTCTGAGCTCCTGGGGTAAGAACTTCAAAATTTGAATGGTAGAAGCACGCAGTTTAGCCCAGAACATAGTATGCGTGACCAGAATTGATTTCATTAAAACAGGCCTAACGAGGTAGTAACAGTGGGGTGTGTGAGGATGCATCAGCCTGCCTCATGGGAAAGCAGTGCTTATAAAGAAGGCGCAGAGGGAGTGGTGATGAAGGGTGTGCCACTGAACATTAACTGAGGGGCTCATATTGACCATTCTGATTCTGTGTCCATTCCATTCTGAGCGTCACTTTAGGAGTTCTTTTACTTATGGGAATGGATCCTTGTATCACAGAAAACTAGAAGGTGACTAAGGGTAGGGAGGGGAGCTACACTGAGCAGATGTAAATTTTACCTCCTTGACCATGTGATTTGTTCAGAAGCAAATCACATTTGAAAAGTGTTAATTAAAAAAAATCATTCTATTTTGATCAGCAAGTTGTTTTCATCATGGGAATCTTGGTCCCCTGGAGGACTGTGATGGTGGAAAGGGAAGTCTGCAAGCTTATTTCATGTTTTATAGAACCTAATAGGATTTTTGAGACTCTGAAATAGGGCTATACAGGATAACTAAAACTTCACATTTCTTTGCTTTTGGTAAGATTGATATCAGCCCCATGTGTCAACACTGGTTATCATAGCCAATCAGGAGCTCTGATTGGCAATTGTATAAGTCTTTGAAGAAAAAGGGAAGATGAATTATTAATAAATGATGCTTACTAGACTGTCTTTCAAAGCATGAGAACTGGTGAGAGAGAGAGAACAGGAAAGGGTAAAATGATTTGGGACCACTGAGTTAAACTAAATCCTTTCTGACTGCTTCCATATCTGACTTGACATTAACTCCACTGCTAAATCATATTTCTAGGTTATTATCAATTAAAAAAAAAATCTAACATGAAATTTGGAATCAAAACCTCCATCTAAATAGATCTCTATTGCAATTGTGAGAAAGTGCCAGCAAAGAGAAACCCACAATGATTCGTACTTTTCAGTCTAATGGTATTTATATTCTTTTGGCTAATGCTACTTAACTGAAAACAATGCTTTTATTATATACCTTCACTAAGTAAAATGAGTCAATCTGTGTTCTTTTCTGAAAGTCA